ATGATTTCGCTTCTACAGTGGCTTAGGGAAGCCAACCACTATGTAGATCATCGCCGTTATCCCCTTACACGAGCGCATTAACACTATAGGGATGGAAAGTTTGGATGAGCCGAGGAAGAGTCGATCAGATATTCGAGCCGTGTTCCGAGCGAGCGGTAAACGAAGCCAGCAGTAAAATGTAGAATCAGGGCGAGAACGTGGGGCGCAACACACGTCTAGTTGGAAAGTATAGACAACATCCAAGGATCTAAGTCAAAATCAGGGTGTGGGGTGGGGGGGGGGGGGCAAAAAAAAACAGAAGTTTGAACAACAACGTATCGATTGACAATATTCGTATGCTTATCTCTTTCCGATAAGAAAAAGTGAAAAAAAAACGTCAGAGGTACAGCGCTTTCACAAAGCTCGACCGGAACAGAGAGAGATATCATTAACTTGAATTAATTTAAATTTGAAGGATCTCAAATTTCCATGACTGAAAGACATATACGACATCAGCTAAGCAATTGACTAGATTCACGCAATAAAGGCACGCCTCGCCTCCAAGAATGGTCATTGTGCGAAATGAAAAAGTTACAGTGGAATGATAGCACCACCAAGAGTCAGAAGGTGCCTTTATTGCGTGAATCTAGTCAATTGCTTAGCTGATGTCGTATATGTCTTTCAGTCATGGAAATTTGAGATCCTTCAAATTTAAATTAATTCAAGTTAATGATATCTCTCTCTGTTCCGGTCGAGCTTTGTGAAAGCGCTGTACCTCTGACGTTTTTTTTTCACTTTTTCTTATCGGAAAGAGATAAGCATACGAATATTGTCAATCGATACGTTGTTGTTCAAACTTCTGTTTTTTTTTTGCCCCCCCCCCACCCCACACCCTGATTTTGACTTAGATCCTTGGATGTTGTCTATACTTTCCAACTAGACGTGTGTTGCGCCCCACGTTCTCGCCCTGATTCTACATTTTACTGCTGGCTTCGTTTACCGCTCGCTCGGAACACGGCTCGAATATCTGATCGACTCTTCCTCGGCTCATCCAAACTTTCCATCCCTATAGTGTTAATGCGCTCGTGTAAGGGGATAACGGCGATGATCTACATAGTGGTTGGCTTCCCTAAGCCACTGTAGAGGCGAAATCATCCAGTAGCCACTACGATTTTGAACGGAGAAGGGATGCGCGGCGCATTCCAACTGGAAATGATCAGCGCAAGAATCATTTTTTCAGATATACGTAGACCAAGGGGTTGGGATAACCTCTGAGCCCATAACGTTTTCGGACTTCAATTCCTCTCTAGCCATCTCGCGAGTAGTCAGTGTATAGTTATGGTAACTGCAAACGAGAGGCCCTGTGAATGGGCGTGACTTGGAGCGCAGCCAGTGAAGCCTTTCCCATCAGTTGTTGTAGACTCGGCATGGCATCACTGGCAGAAAGGCCGTCTTGGCTGCGCTTCAACGCATGTCCTTTCAGGTATCGCCACGACTGTGCGTCGGGAGCACTGCAGAAAAGGTTTAGTTGAAATTGTTGGCAACACCTCAGTTTACTGGTTTCTTTAACCCCATGGCTCATTTTTGAGCGCTTTATATCACATTCATATGCCTCGTCATGCTCAAAAATCCTGTTAATTGTAACAGAATTGTTAGGTTGAATTTATAAAATTGTACATATGTAAGATAAAGCTGTTTGGATTTCCTCAAGCTTTTATTTTCTCACTCATGGTTCCCAAGAAAACCGTGAGTGAACCACAAACGATGCAGAACGCATTAATGGTGTTTGATCAGCTAGGTCTTCTTGAATCTTCTTCACCTGCGTCTGTCAAAAGCGTTAAAGATTTCGGAAATATCTTATAATTCAAGCCTTTTGTCTGATTCAATTCATGGGAAACCACAAAAATTCACTTGCTTCCTTCTCACAGGAGGGACTATTGTAATCTAAACACTGACAGCAACAATGAGAGGCATATGACAAATCAATCATAAGGGAGCGTTCAAACTTCGCGACGGCAGCGCTTCGGTCGCGATCGAAGCAGTCAAAAGCATGCGCATCATTGCGTCAAAGCGCGCGAAGTCTGAACATGCTGCGGTTGTGGGTGTGAAGGGGAACGCAGCGCCCGATGGACGAGTTGCCGTGTCTTGTCGTTTGGATCTGAACGTTCAAGCGACGAGGAAATCCTATTCGAGA